GATTGACAAGACCATGGCTCCAGTCAAGCACACATTAGCATGCAAAGGGACATTTTTGCTTTTTAATACTTTAAAAAAGGCCATTTGCCACAAAATTGCCCACTGGATTTCATTGTTTAATTTGTTTTTGTCTGCTGCTCCTAGGGATGCTATTTGTGGCTCCAAGTAAAATTAATTATTTGATAATTTTATAATTTTCTGCAAATACCATACTGCTTATTCTTCCAATTGTGAGATATATGTCTATATCTATATGTAGATATAGATATATATATAAAGAGGTACAATCCATCAATCCATACTGATGGCTTTGATCTTAAAAGTAAGTGCCTTAAGTCCTTTAAATTTTCATATATGCATATAAGTACATGTACACATTAATTTTATCTTTAAATACATTATTTATCTCTCTTGTTTTACACCGTAAAATGTGATGCCACTTGAACTTCTTTTCCATGTATTTGCTACTTCAACTCATTGTAATCCAGTCAATTTTAACATATCAAGCCCCTGCAGGACAGACTAGAATTGCCTCATAAGATATCAGACTGCAATCTTGACAAAATAAGCTACTTTGTCCTTCTGCTGCCAAGTGGCTCCTGTATCAGAATCACTGACCTTGCTTTTAGCAGGCAAACGCTTATCCATTGTGGCTCTTTATTTATTGAGTAGCACCGTCATTGTTCTTTTTATTTATTTCTTTCATTAAAATTCTTGAAACCCTAATTGATCCTGCCTTAGTCAATTCGAAGAGAGTAGTAACTATGATTCAGAATGAAAGTTAAGGAGCACTTTAAGTCAGCAGTTCTCAACCTGTGGGTCACAATGCCTTTGGATGTTGAACGACCCTTTCACAGGGGTCGCCTGATTCATAACAGTAGCAATGTTACAGTTATGAAGTAGCAATGAAAATAATTTTATGGTTGGGGGTCACCACAACGTGAGGAACTGTATTAAAGGGTGGTAGCATTAGGAAGGTTGAGAACCACAGCTTAAAGTCCTTAATTTACACTCCAGATAAATGAGAAAAGTCACCCATGTGTGCTTCAAGACCTATCTACCTCTTTTACTTCTGCAATTGGCAAAGTAACTTGGACTTTGTTCTCTACTTCTTGACTTAGATAACTTTATTCATCTGTTCTTTCTTATCAAATTACCCTTTGCTGGGGGTTAGCTTTCTGGTCGAAAATATGCCTGTCATTTGTTACCAGAATTGGGAATGCTGTATGATTGTAATCACGCCTCATCAATTTTGCCTTCACATTTGTGGTGATAATTTGTAATTCTTCTAGATGCTCTGTCTTATTTAAAGGCCTACTATACTCAACCATGAGTGATATTGATCATGGATGTAGTACAGAATGCTTAGCTTTCAAGGATACTCACTGCTTGCAATCTTGAAAATGTTTACCATTATAGATTGTGTATGTGAGCTACATCCTCCTGGTTGTTATTATTGCTGGGTACTGGGGAGTTGATTCCAATTCACAGTGGCCTCATGTGACACAGTGGTACTTCTCCACAAGGTCTTGTATGTTGTAAGTTTTAAAGAAACAAATCTCTAAGTTTTCCTCCCATTGAACCCGTAGGTGAGTTGGAATCACCAACTGTAATCATTGCACCAGCAGCTCCAAACCACCAAACTAAAGCCATTAAAACATTAATTCCCATTTGTGGTAACTCTAAAAGCCACAGTAGAACTGCACCTTAGAGGTTTCTAAGATGAAATCTTTGTAAAAAGGGGAAGACTTCTCTTTTTCTATCCAGTTGCTGGTGGCTTTGAACCTATGACCCAACACTTAACCCACTAAGCTAGTTGGGCTTCTTCCAATAGGTTACCTACTATAATGGGTTGCAAGTGTAATATAGGTCGGACAAACAGCAATGTCAGTTATCTCCTCCTTTTACCATTTGATGTTGTTATTGGGTTTCCACTCATTGGACTCCTCTTTGACAAGGCCTACTAGCATTTTTTGACTACTAGAACTTTTTCCTGAGCTTATATTTCCTGGTTGCTATGGCACTCTTAAATCTTAGTTAGGTTTGTAGTATAGTAATTCTAATTGCATAATATTTTAAAGGGATAATTGCTCTTAATAAAATAAAAAGTCAATAAATATTTATATATATGACTAAGTTCACATATTACTGTCCAAAGATGTTTCCAGAAATTATGATACAGTAAGTGAAAAAGATTTAGATTTTCAAAGACAAATGAAAATTAAAAGGGCTAAGAAAATCATTCAAATCAACTATATGAATTGTATTTAGCTATATTTTTGTAGTGGGATTTTTTTTCTCATTCCTTAATTGATTGGGTCCATGTACAATCTACCTTAATTTTTATGTTGATGACAAATAAAATTGTAAAGTGAATTACTTTTGGAATCGTCAAATACCACATAAAATTATGCCATATACTTTCTATGTAATGCATACTACATTTTAAGAAAATTTCCTCTAATTCCAAGAAACTGTAGGAAGCCCTGAATTGAATTGAATTGTGTCCTGAATTGAATTCCGCTGCCAAAATATTTATATTGACATTATGCCTATGATTTAAGCATATGCTTCTCTCAGTTAGAGAATATTGCTTTCCATAGTATAGTGCAATGTAATATTAAATCTTTCTATAACCATAGCACAGAGAGAATCCAGTATAATTAGGGAAAATTAGTCACTGTTGTGGTCAAGTTTCACATGACAATTAAAAATAAAAGATATCTAGGCATGTTTTTGTCATTGTAAATGAATGTAATTGAAAGTTTTGCTCTATCACCAAGCCCCATTTTTGTGTATGTAAATAATGTCCAATCACTTAAGAGTTTAATCTGCACATGTCAGCAATTCACGTACTGCAGCTTGTAGTCTGCCAACACTTGTACAATGTCCTTTTCTCAACAGTGGTTTAAGTTACACACCATTGGCTACATTAATGACACTATCAATATATTCCCTGTGTGCCCCAGGAGGATGGTTGACAATGTTCTGTAACATAAAATGATAATAACGTCTCATACATATAAACCATAGATAAATGAACAGATTTGGGGATCACGCTAAATCCTAGCTCCAATCAAAGAACAAGTAGTTCTTATGACATGACCAGCGTGATGCTTACCTCCTGAAGATATCACTGGAGATATGAATGGAAAGTAAGACAAAGAAACTAGGTGGTGCCTGGATATCAGAGAGAATAGCACTTGGAGTCTTAAGGGGTTGTCTTCAAACCAGCAGCCATCTAAGTGAGGTTTCCACTAAGCCCACATGGAAGAAGCACACCATCTTGTGGATTATAAATAATAATAACCAAACCCAAAGAAAGTAATGATATTGGAGCTTAAATTGTGAAAACCTGGTTTACAGAAGACAATGGCTGACAGTGGGAGCCCCCATACTGCCTGCACGTCCACACACAAATTAAGACTCTAGTGAATTCCCTCAGATGATAAACCAGGAAGGTGAATAGAGTGCAATGGGGTTTTTTTGGTTGTTTTTGTTCTTTCCTTTTCTGTTTTTCTCTATGTTTTTCTGTTTATGAAATCCAGAATGGGTAAAGCTACAGAGACAGTAACTGCAGTGATGGTTTCTTGTAAGTCTGGCAGGAAAGGTTGGGGAAGATGGGGAGCAGATTACAGAGTCCAAGAAAGGAGTGATGTTCTAAAGTTGATTATTGAAATAATTGTACCACTTTTTAAAAATATGATTGAACTATTGAATTGTACATATGTGAATTATATGCCAAGAAACTAATAGAATAAAGGGCTTCATTTCATCATTTTTATTATCATAGGTTTGAGCTTCAAATTGCCTATAAATTAAAGAAGTCTTAGAACAAAGAAGTGAGCTGGATTTGGTGGTCATTTGCTCATATCTTCTCCACCATAGCCTAGTGGGAGAGGGATGAATGTCTGAGTGGTCCCTGCATAAATAGAAGTAGAGTTGCTGTAAATTCACTGATGTATAATAGAATGGAGGGAGAGATGGTGGCTGTTTAGCTTACTATCTCTTCCAAAGATGCCTGCATTTCTATGGTCTATTTTCAAATGTCTTCTTAAAGAATTTTGTACTGATAAACTTTGAAACCTGCAAGCTTTCAAATTACATTTCAAGGACAACTTCTAATTTACCATTTTGTTACTATTATTCTTAATCAGCATGCATCAGAATCACATGAAAGATTATGAAAACACAAATTGTTGGGTGTTATAACCAAAGCTTGTTATTCAGAAAGTCAAGAGAGGAATATGAGATTTTTTTGTGTGCAAAAAATGCACAAGTATTATTGCTATTGGTTCAGGGACTACAGTTTGAAAACCATTGATTTATACATTCAACGATGCTGTTATAAAAGGGCAATTTACATGTTCAGTGCACTTGGTAAAATTGTTTAGCTCAAATTCAGTTCAAATGAGAATAAAATGATAGGAAGTGTCATTTAAATTATGATTGGGATGGAATGGACTAGAAATGAATAGCATCTCACCTAATATTAAAATATTCCCAACCATGCTGTGATAGTTATTGTATTATCACTTACCTTTATGTGAAAGGCTTTGCTGACCCAGACATCGTCTTTTGCCAGGTTTTCATGCTGAGCTCTTCTCTTTCAGACACACACTGTGGCTTATAATTGCTCATGACTCCCTCTTTTGCGTTTCCTTAAGTAATGGACAACTTGGCTTTCAAAAAATAGTATCCAAAATATATGCATGTCTTTTTAGTCATTCTCGAGGCTTAGACTAATTGTCTATACTTCAATAAAAATAATTATTTATATTATATATAAAGTTTCTCACATATGTCCTCACATTACTGTGCCTTTTATTTATTTCAAAATCTTATAATCCATTTACCTTAAATAAATATGTCTTTATAAGTAATTATGTATAGCTTTATTTTCTTGTATACAGTTATGCACATCATTTAGTGTCATCAAGCTGTGTACACTTTACCCCATTTGATGTTATATTATTCATCACCCAAACTGAAAAATATCTAAAAATATGGAATGTTCCACAAACTTGCATATCATCCTTGTACAGGGAGAAATGCTAATTTTCTATGTATCATTCCAATTGTAATATGTGTACTGTCTTAGTGAATATATAGTCATGTATTTGTTTTTAAGTTTAGTGATGAGAGTAGACATTAATTTTTACTTGTAGAGTACACATAGGATGTATTTTATTATGTAACTAATATGTGATAATTAAGAATAAAAATCATATGCCTTCTGTTTCATGAAAGTTAGAGACTAAACCAAGACAGACTTTATTTTCAAACATAAAAGATTAAACACTTTAACGACTATTTAGAGGCTTTTCCTTATCATACATAATAAATTAATTCTATGTTTCAAATTCACTAGATGGCCTGCAGTCTACAATTTACTTGATAGGTGCTTCCTTTCTTTTGTCTGAAAAATACAAGTTCATACTAGATGGCCTTTATGATCCTTCAGGTAATATACTAAGAATCTCTACTTTTCGTGAATCTGAACTTAGGCAACTGCCATCCTACCCGATTGCACACCGACATTATAAAAATTCCTGTGGGTTTTCTTGATCATCAATAAAGCAAGGACTTGCTTTCCTCTCTTAAGATTCCAATGTCTGATTTGTTTTAACTATATTTTTCAGGCAGCACATTTTCTTATCATATTTCTACCTTTAAGTTTATGTAGGAAATTCTTCTAAATGATTACACTTTTTGATTAGGCAGATTAAAAAGTGGTCTCAATCAAGAAAATATTGGGCATTCCAGTTGTCTTACATTCTCTTCATTAACTTCCTAGTATACAAAGACAAGAATACCTAGGGGCTCAAAACATCTTAATATTAATTGTAATGTTTGAAATAAAATAATGTTTATTTGTTAAGAAGTACGTTAAACAAAATAAATAGAATTATGAACATTCATTGAATGCTCACTATAATCTCCCCACCACGTGTCTATGGTGGCTTGCATGATGTTATCATGCTGGAAGCCATGTCACTAGCATGTCAAATACCAACAGAATCACCTACAGTGAACACGTTTCAGCAGAGATTCTAGAGAAAGGACAATGAAGAAGGTATCACTTGCCATTACAGGGGAGTCACTCCTGAAACCTTACGTATAGCTTCACTGTCTGATACTTTAGACCTCTAATGAATAGAAGCAGACGATTGTCAGAGACAGTGCCAGAGGACAGCAGTTTGGGTCTGAGCGGATTAGAAATGTGACTGAGAAGGAGCTACTTTGTCAGAGTAGAGTCAAATATGCTGAAGTGAATGGAGTAAAGCCTATTGGCGTGGAAACTTCAGGATCTTCATTTGCTAACAGAGCACAGCTAGTGGTGAGATTCAGCCAGTCAGCACCACTGTGGCAGAAATGATAGCTAATCTTTGGTTGAGATTGACTAACTGGTTATTAAAAGAGCACTAGTAATAAGTGTTGTCTCTAATGTGAGTGTCTGCTCAGCTGCCCCATGTGAAGATCACAAACTTACATTCCTTAATCTTTTTAAATGTCTATCTGTGCAACAGCTGTATTCTGATACCATGTTGAATATACTGCCTTTTGGTATATAGTTTTTAATATTTAAAACAGTCATTAGGGCAGTGAGTCAGTAGTTAAATTATTTGAATCCCACCACTGGACATGAATCAAAGTAAGAAGCTGCCATAATCTGCTAATGATTTGAATTTGGCATGTGCTAAGTATGAGTGTAAGAAATTTGGAAGTAATCAAAAACGAAATTCATAGGCATTAGTGAGCTGAAATTGAGTCAGAAAATCACATGATTTACTATGTATAGAATGCTACAATCTAAAGAATGGCATTGCATTCCAGGTCAAAAAAGCATTTCAAACTCAATCTTGAAATACAATGTTGTCTGTGATAGCATAATATCTAGCCATCTTCAAAGAAACACTAGCAATACAACTAAGTTCAATCTGATATTGATCAAACATGCAATCAAAATGCATTGATAATTAATATTGATAGGAATTCAAGAGTAGAAAATAAAAAGGAAGGGAAAATATGGAGTTGGTAAAATAAATAAGGCTGAAGATGAAATGATGAATTTTGCAAGACCAATGGCAAAATACCTTTTTCAACAACACAAACAGTGACTATACACAAGGATTTCTCCAGATGGAATGAAACTGACTACATCTCTGGGAAGTGATGCTGTAGAAGTTCAATATCTGGAACTAAAACCAGAACGGGCTGACTGTGGAGCAGACT